AACCTACCTTAGAAACTAAGAAATTATGATAATAATAATAATAAAAAAAAGTCGGTCTCACATATCCATGCACATTGACTCATAAAAATTAAAAAAATTATATAATTTAAATCATACAATTTAAATGATTTTATAAGATAAACTTTTTAACATTAAAAGTTTTTTTCCTTTCATTTAATAAATTTTATTTTACAATTTAATATAATATGAACTCTAAAATAAGAAAATCTTGGTCTATTTTAATCCTATTTAAAACCTTACGCACCTACAAACAAATTAATTCTAAAAACTAGTTATCTGCATATCCTTCCAAGTTCCATTAATACAGTTACCTGCAAAGTACTAATCCAAGGAAGAAAACTTTACTTTACCATGTTGTTATTATTATTATTATTATTGGGTAAATTAATGCCTTTATCCTTCCAAGTTCCAACCCAAGGAGGAGAAAAGAAAGATGAGATAATGGTGACAGTGAAGCAAAGTTGGAGACACAAACATGCAGATAAGCCCTTTATCCGAAGAACACACGCACAAACTCAGAAACTCTAGATTCCAGCCAGCTTGGGGAGTGATATGATCTAATCCCCAGCTAATCTCATTGACGAAAGATTTGACTTCTCTACTGCGTCTTGTTTGTCCCGAAAATTCAATTGCCCTTCACCCTATTTGCTGTTTTATTGTTGTTGCCAACTATAGATTCATATATGCGTGTACCGAGAGAAGACTCAGTGGCAAGGCAAGGACAATGCTTAAAATGTGTGAATTGGGGCGCATGTTTTATGCTGTTATTGTTTTTTTTCTAACGTTCATAACGGAGAAAAGTTCATTCTTTTTCAAACTTTTTTTTCACTCATTTTAAAAATTAAATTTGAAAGTATGGAAACTTTGACTTGAAGAATTGTTATGACAATTACGGGTTTTGGTCTTGTTCATTGCATTTAACAACTGGAAAATCCCTAAAACACAGGCAGAGGTTTTAAGTTTGGACACTGTGATTGAGAATTCACAAGTTAGTCTAATGTTGGTTGTAACTATCGTGATCAGTCGCTCGAAATTTGACCAGGAGGGATGGGTTCAGTGAGCCTGTCTTTCACAAATGATCAGTTTTTCAAAGGCAAGGGAAATATATAGAATGCAAAATCAATGAATTAATTACATTAGGCTTTGGAAAAGAAAAAAAAAAAAGGGTATGGAATGCCTCTACAAAATTTATGAATGCACTCAAGATTTAAGACATAATAAAGATAAAAAAAAAATCCGTAATAAAAAAATAATCCATTTTGTTGGAAGCAAGCATTGAGATGTATTTTAGATTAGTATGCAGTACCATAGACATTTTCACATGAACAAACATTATGAAACAAAGACATGAAGGCCCTGAGAAAAATATTATATGTTTGAACAGGAATTCTTGTAGTGGGTATGTTGAGGCAAAGTTAAAGATTGTTTTGGGTGAGAAAGATAAGGTGATCGATGACATGCAATTGGGAGACCATTGATTACCCAAGTGGAATTCTTTCATATTCCCACACCACAAGACCATATGGGCATGTTCCCACGAATTTTTTTCTAGCCACAAAACAAACCCATTTCCTTAGGTGAAAATTAGTAACTTAAATGTACACAATTATTTCAAGGATTTCTATTACAAGATTTTATGGCATTCCCATCTTAATCCAAAATCAAAGATTATTAAAATAATGTAAGATGTGACATTAGGAGAAGTATACACTCATTATAAACTTTGGGAGGGGGTGATTGGGCAAGAAAACGTGGGATCCTACAACTGTAAAGTTGGTGGGGAAATGAGTCCTGAGGGATTATGATTGTGCCTGGTTGGGTGCAAACAAAAGTCAAGATTATTTTCGAGAGAGCCAGCTGTATTTTGCAGTAATAATAGGATGGATAAGCAGAGACTTGACAAAGGGTGAGATTATTTGTTCTATCCTTTCCATGGCAGTACTGATCTTGTGGGGAAAGGAGAGAAAGTACGCACAATTCCAGAGATGTATCAAGTCTTTTGTTGCATAATTATTTCAAGTTACAGATAAATAAAAGGACAGAGAGTGGATCCTCGATCAAAATTTTTCAAAAGCTAAATTGAGTTTCCATCCCATGACAAAATAGTTAGGTTTTATCGTTATCTTTTTTTATGATGATTTTAAGAATATATTTTTTATATTAACTTGATGTAATGTCAAAATTTATATTATATATCTAATTTAAAAGATAACATTTACTTATTATTAACAACTCAAATTCTTGGGGGTTTAGTTAGGTTTTTTTCGTTTGATAGAATATTTATTCATGTTACATATGATACTTAAATTTCATTTTCTATTCACTCTTGAAATTTATTTTTTTAAAATATTGGTGTGGGGTACTTCATAGGATGTCAAGATTATTATTGGGTTGGATATAAGGTCAGACCCACCAACAAAGGCTATTTTACGACCAAAATTTAACAAATATGTTTAAAAAAAAAAAAAGTCTAAAACCCAAGATCTTAATGTTTTTGGGCCATAATCGGAAGATCCTGGTAATGAGGTCTTAATTCATTTTTGGGCTCTGTGCATGAAAAATTGCAGTGATTAGGTTTTGAGCTTAAAAATGTATTTATATTTATTTTCCACTTTTTCCTTTTTAGTGAGCTTTAAATTAGGTATTACAAGAATTTAGGACTCGTTTAATTTGAAAAGGAATGTCCAATACCCTCCCTCTCTCTTCCCGTATAAGAAACTTTAAATGATTATTTGTAAAAAAGTGCAAATTTTATGTATTTATATGTAAATTTTGATATTTTAAATTTTATTTGTAAATACTTAAAATCACAAGTTTGTAATGTGCTTATTTTAAAATCTCAAGTTTTTATATACATTTATCTCAAATCACAAGTAATTAAAGTGCAATTCTCCCAAATAAATACTAGTGAATTTTTAATTTTTTGTTTGTTTGGATCTGTAAATATCCATGAACACAATAGAGTGATTCCCTTTTGGTTGGCAGAGAAAGAAGGTAACATTTATCTACTTATCACGGCACCGAAAGAACAAGTTCTCTATTTGGAGTCACAGATTCCCTCTCAAAACCAAAAATCTTGTGCTTTTTTCCAGGGATTTGCTTGGACCAGATGTGTCATCTTCTTAGCCTCTTGAAAAGTCACAGAACCCTTTCATCAATCCATGACCATAAACAGACAATTAATACAGAAAATGATAATACAGAAATTGGCGTTTAGAGGTTTGTTTGATTCTTGAGAAACAAGACTACATAGTCTCTTACAGTTCACAAGAACTTTCCATGGTCCCTTTCAACTTGTTTGGAAGGACCATCTAACTATCTAAGAAATGGAATCAACTCAAGGATGTATCTTGGAATCCAAGGCTAGTGCTTGCTTTTGATCTTACGTAACAGATAGGAAATTCTCATCTTCATTTTTCATCCTGTTGTGATGTGATGTGATTGCTCAAATTAAAAGTGATTTTTTTATCAGCCAAAGAAATTATTTTAATTATGTGCACTTTCGACAGAAAACATATATACTGAGTTATCTGATCATGAATTGGAGGGCAACTAGCTGCATTTATATGATTTGGGTGGCTATGAAGAATCCTTATCATTTCATTAGCTATTGTTACTTTCATGGACCAGTTCATCTTAATTTGTGCTATGGTCCTCAAGATTATGACAAAAATTGATTTATATTATAACATACATACATGTAATGCATTATTTGCCTCTAAGGGTTGTTGCAATTGATAAGATGTTGAAATTAGTTTTCAGTTTGGATCTTGAAACAGGTGGAGAGAAATTAATGAAATGAGAGGGGGTACATCATCAGACATGCAAAAAGTTATATGATACATTTTCTTTATGAAGTTGCAATTTGTTTTTATGTCATTGCAATTTCTTTGTACATACGGTCATACTCCTTGAATTGTTTTTCTAGGTCCATATGACGGTAGATTATACACTAGCAGATAAATTTTTTGATTCCACTCTTCATCATATATATATTAGGGTATGTAACATGAAACTCCATCTTAAAAGTCTCGTGCTCAAACCATTCGGTCGCACCATAAGAGACATATAAGAGGTGATTCTTAGATTTTCACAATAACATTAATTAGGATCCTGAAATGATCATGAATCAAACAGGAAATTAGAAACATTTAGATTGATCTCAAAGCAACCAGAAGACAATGCATAGAACAAAAGAGACTGAACTCATGCAATGATATGAAAGATAACTTCACTTCCACCAATCAACACCTTATCCACCTTTGAAGTCTTATCCAAACTTCATCACCTGTTGACTCTGCAGGGAAATACATGATTTAGCAATAAAACAAGGCAAAGTGTTGAGTCATAATTCATGGCATGGCTGCAGGGGGATCCAGCTAGATGCTCTTTGGAATGTTGTTCAAGGCAAAGATCCGAAACTCCAATTCCAAGGTGCTGAACAGAATCAAATCCCTGCATCAACACTATTCTTGGCTTCTTGTTCTAAGTCAGAAAAGATATGTCAGCTCATCTGATGCCAAGAATTTGAGTCCAATGTGCAAAAGATCTATTGGCTCTGCATTTTACCAACAAGCGGTTAGGGGGTTAGTATTGATTAACTTCAAAATGTTAATTCCGCAATCAAGATTAGACTATTCATACCTCTGCAATAACTAAACAGATTAACTCTTTCATTTTTCATGTATCAAAGAAAGTATTAACGGGGTCAGATCTGATGTCTCCTTTTCTCAACGTAGATTCCCCCACTGGCTTCACTCCACCACCACTACCCTCTTCCCCTGCTTATAAATAGAGCATTCCTCTCCATCTCCAAGCACAACCCACCTCTTTTTTCCCTTTTCTTGTATCTCTTTCACCATCTTTTAAAACTCTAACAGGAGATGGCTTCAGGCTCCCTACAGTCTAGAGACGCAGGGTCTTGGACACCAAAGCAGAACAAACTGTTTGAAAAGGCATTGGCCTTGTATGACAAGGACACCCCAGACCGGTGGCAGAATGTTGCCAAGGCTGTGGGTGGGAAAACAGCAGAGGAAGTCAAGAGGCACTACGAAATCCTTATTGAAGACCTCAAGCATATTGAGGCGGGCCGCATTCCCATCCCCAACTACAAGTCCTCTGATAGCAGCATCAATGGCGATTAAGAAGAAAGGTAATGCTAAACACAAAGACTTCCTTTATCATCATGCATCATGCACTGTTTTGTTGTTAGGCATTACAGGACAGTGAAACTCTGCAGATTGCCATATACTCGCCGGCATTGTGCCATAATTGAGGGAAGAGCAGACCAACCAAAACAAAGCAGTTAGGAATAGTGAAAGTGTCAATTGGTCCACCTGATATTTCAGTTTCAGTTTGCCTACAAATTGATCACTTTAGCTTCTTATCCTGTTACCCTTCTCACTTAAATGATAATCCACTTGAGCTCTACTTTTAGGTTGCATCCAAAAAAAATTCCCAGTCTTAATATTTAAAATATGCAACAACAAGGTCAGAAATTAAAACCTAAGCAATCAAGATTTTTATTTAGTGTGGACAAATATATGATGTTACTTGTTTGCTTTACAGGCTGAGAAGGTATCTTAAACTGCAGTGAAGTCCAATCTTCAGCAGGGGTTATCATCTTCAAGACTTGAAGAACACAAGAAAATCTACATCTTGCTTCCAGTACTAAACCCCACACCATCATGTCTCCTTACTACCTGATGTAATTGAGGTTATTCTTCTTCTGTGATTAGTTAATAATTATAAATGAAAATATCTATTTCCAAAGCCATTATAGATCCATTCATCAACAGGTACATCAGAAAAAAATGATTAAAACCAAGGATTAACCCAACCACTGGTCCCAATATTTTAAATCTGGGCATTCTTGTCTCCACGCTTTATTAATTACTCCAAAACAATGAATTTCAAACTCTATGAAAAAATAATAATAATAAAAGAATTACAAATAAATATATAGTGAAAATCAACAACGGATCAATCACAGAAAATACAGCAAAAGGTCTACTAGTTTTTGCAAGCATTCTCTTCCCATAAACAGGTCAAAATTTTCTTTAGCTGCTTGTTATAGACACGCGGTCTCTCCATTGGAGCAAGATGCCCAGATTTCTCTATAGCATGCACTACTGCTTTCTCTCCAATTTGCCTGTATACACAGAATGTTCTCAAACTAATTAATTAAACAGTGTGCAGAAATTTAGGAAATCCCGACTTTAGGACATCTAATTACAGGCACAAGATGGTTGGGATATGGTATATTCAGGAGACTCACTCTTTCAGGTTATAGGCAGTATCCATGTCAAAAATCTTGTCATCCTTTCCCCACAACAGATGTATCCTCTGCAACATTTGTCATTGATCAAGTGTTGTAAAAGATTAATTATACAAATCCCAAGAAAAAAAGGAATTAATATAAAAAACTGGGGTCTGTGATCAAATAATTAAATATGGAAATACCTGAGGGAAATTAGGGATAGAAAATTCTTTATCACTAATCACCAAGGCCTGTAGAAGTTCATTTTTCTCCTTTCTGTTGTTAAACATGGTCTGTCATCATTATAAAAGGGAAAGAAAAAAAAAATTAGCTGATGGAATACTTAGAAAAGAGCTAGTTGAGATAGAAACACTGGTACTGATTCTTAATTTTAAAAAAAAAAAAAAAATTAGCTAACGGATACAAAACAGTTTTTCGTACCTTTAAATAGTCCTTGAAAATGCAATTAGGCAGCCACGGAAAGTTGTAACAAGCAGTATGGAAGAGCACTTTGACACCCTGGACAGACTTAGGAAGCAAGTATTCAGACCAAGAAGAGAACCCAATTCTCTCAAGCCCAGCATTGCTTATGGACTCAGTCAAGGCCATAACTGAGCCGGTAACCACCATGGACTCCACCAGGGCAGGATACATCTCTGCCATCTTAAAGCCAACCATCCCGCCATAGCTCAACCCCACCACAGTACACCTCCGCACCCCCAGCTGCCTCAACGCCTTGGCCATGCACTCTGCCTGAAAGCCAACAGACCGGTCTGTCTTGTCGGTGATGGAGCCGCCGAAGAAGAGGAGATCCGGGACGTAGACCGCGTAGTTTTTTGCTAGTGCTAACACCTGGAATTGCCACGTAAGAATACCATCCGCTGCAAAGCCATGCAGAAAGACCACCGCAGGCTTGTCATCGACTTTCTTTTCTCCGGTCTCAATCGGAACCCATGTGTTGATGACCGTCCCTGGTTCGATCTCTATTGCCCGGGGTCTAACCCCGGCCATCTTCATCACCCCATGCAACAAAGGCATGTATACTTTCTGCAGGAAGCTCACCATGTTTTCTTTCACAATCTTGTCACTCCATGTTTCTTCATTTATTGCTCTTATATATACTAATTCTATTATTAATTCATTAAAAATATTATAATCACAATACTTCATAATATTATAAATTTATAATATAATTAATGTGTTATTATATAATTAATTTTTTTATTTAAATGTTTACTTATAATATTATATTATATTTAGTTAATATTATAGTTATAATTATAAATTTATAACTTTATATAATATTATAATTAAAGAATTTTCATTATTCATTTACATCAAAGTCAACTTCTCCTCTTGATTTTTCTTTCTACACATGTAATTATGTTATTTAATTCAATTAATAAATTTTATTTGTTGAAAAAGAAAAAATTGTTTATGGTATGAATTTTCTATTAAAACGTGTAAATTTCAACATCCATTAATGCAAAATCAAACTTAGAACATTCGGGATTTTGCCTAACCACCCAAACTTGGCCCTTACTTTCAACTTATATATATCCACCCACCTAAATACGCACTAGCACAAGGACTTTGATTTTTTTTTTTTTTAACATATTTGCAAAAATTAGGTTCAAATCGTTATTCGAAAAAAAAAACCATTTTAAATATGACTTGATATTATTAGATCTGAAAGTCCAAGTGCAGCACAACTAGTTTTATATAGAAAGAAAAAAAAAAAAGAATTAGTCAATGCAATACGGCGCCCCCGAAGACTTTTAATCTCTCCTTTTGTAGCTGGAGAACTTCTTTTCCATTGACTACAAAAATGTTTTTATTCTTTTAGTTAGCTTTGATTTCAGCTATGGTACGAGATTGAAACTTAATTAGCTTTGACATTTCCCATTTGTAATACGGAAGCTTATAAATTAAGCTTTTAATGGTTGGGAACTCTTGATGGAATAGAACTGGTACAAACATGCATTATGGTGGAATTTAATCAACGTCAAGTTGCTAAAAGCCCTTTTGCCTCCTTTTTCAGCACGTTTAATAACTTGGCATACAACATTCTTCTCTAATTCCCCCCTTTCACTTGGTGAAGATCGATCCAATTTAAAGTCATATCTACATATTCTTCAAAAAAAATTTATCAACTTTATTAGTTGACAATTTAAAACCTTTTGTATTTCTTTAATCAAATATAAACACACGCAAGTACAATTTTAAAAGTTAGAACTTGAAGTAGTTGTTTCATATTTGAACTCTAGAGAATCTTCTCATCATATAGATCATATATAGTAAGATGTATAAACCAAACTCAATTCCAAATATTGTAAAAATATGGTTCATTCTTTTAATGTGATTTCATGTTTAAAGAACCAATTAATATAGTTTTTGTGGAAATAAAAATTTTTTAATTTGAGTTACATGTCATAAATGTAAGATAAATTAAAATATGAAAAAGAATTGGTTCTTATTTCATAATTTAAAATTTAAAAAAAAAAGGAATTAATTGAGATTATTACAAATTTTATATATATTTAAATTCATTCCCTTTCTGTTAATGTGTATTGATGTTTAATATTACAAAACAATAATTGTAATATAAACTATATTTACTTATAAAATATGAATTATTAAATGAGAAGTAAATTTTTAGGTTTATCTAAAAATTTAATAAATATACTTTTTGATTATAAATTTATATTAAAGAAACAAAAATCTAATTTTTAATTTATTAATTATTTAATTAAATTCATTTGACATTTGACATTAAAATTAATATTAATTTTTATATTTTTAGACACATTTAATATAAAAAAATATTTTTAACCTACACTTTTAAAATATAAATTACAAAAATACTATCATGTAAACAAGTGATGTGTTGTTATAGGTAGACTAGAGTCACATCACATCCTCCCTTTCGAAAGACCACTTTGAAAGGCGACACCATGGGCTGAGTGAGGAAGCAAAAGTAGTCAGCCCAAGAATAAAACCCAATTCTCTAAAGCCCAGTATTGCTTATGGACTGGGTCAAGACCCATAACAGATCAGGTCTGAGTCACTATGGTATAGACCCTGCGCCTCTGCCCGCAATAATGAAAGCTGCAGTTTTGCAGAAATACGTACGACAAGGAAAAGACCATGCAGAAATCTCCACAAATGCACACCTTTTGAGGGTTGTTATTGTTGTTGGTTTTTTTTCTTTTTTTTTTTTTTTCTAATTATAATTATAATTATGAAACTTAAAAGAGATATTTCAACGTCTTACAATTTTTTTCCACAAGAATTCATTACAATACACATTTTTTTTTCTTTTTTGAAATTTTTGTTACATTAAAAATTAATTATTTGATATTATAAAAAGTTCAAATTTTTTAAATTAATGATAATAAGTATTAATTAAGATTGTTAGTACCATATTAACATGCATATTAATTTTATTATAAGTATAGTACATATTATATTTTAAATTATATTATGTATCATTTTAAACTTATAATAATAAATATATATCTTTATAAAAGTTAACTATAAACATAAACATATTAATGCCGGTTAGACATAACAAAAATAAAATTAATATTTAAAAATATAAACTTATAAACTAAAAACATGATATTATCAATATTTAAAAAATTGAATTCATTGTTAATTTTTAAATTTAAAGAATTAACCCTGCTCACTATGCAGTTTTTCAGAAAGTGGAAGTGTGCCCATCATGCCTTCATTTAAATAAATATCTCATTTAATCTCACCCTCACCAACCATGTGTCCGTACTTATCCCTTATCATAAATATCTCTTCCAAAAATAAGGATTTTTTTAATGTACGGCTGGAAGGTTTTTTCATTTTACATAAATATATAAAAATATAAAAATTAATAATATTATTAATATTAATATTAAGTA